GACCCTATACAGGGTTTCTGAGGCTGCAAATCTTTACAGGAGCAGAAAGCCTCATCTTTTTCCCGCCAAAGAGCTGGTAGTTTCAAACTGCTGACCTTAAGGTTCACAGCCTGATCTATAACCATTATACTATCAGAGCTCCTTCCAGGCCCCTATAAGGAATAATAATTTTAATTAATGGATTATAAGTACTTATAATAATATCTGGTATAGTGTAAACGCTAGGTAAATATTTACTGTTGTGACAATGTATGAAGTATGGTTCTGAATGTACTATCTCAGTGAATTCTCACCACAATCCTATGAAGTTGTTATTGTCCCCATTTTACAGATGTGGAAAGTGAAGCATAGGTTTACTTCTTGTGTAATGTCGACTCGGTTGTGACTCATAGTGACCACGGTTATAAATCATAGGGTTTCCAAGACTGTAAAACTTTATGGGAACAGAAAGACTCCTCTTTCTCCCTTAAAGGTTTACATTCTTGGAAACCCTATACAGGGTAGATCCCAAACCTTCTCTATTTATCTATATTTACTTTATTTATAAGGAGCTCTGGTAGTGTAGTGGTTACGAATCAGGCTGCTAACCTCAGTGTCAGCAGTTTGAAACTACCAGCTGTTCCACGGGAGAGAGATGAAGCGTTCTGCTCCCATAAAGATTTACAGCCTTGGAAACCCTGTACAGGGTCACTATGAGTCAGAACCCACCACGGCACATAACAACAACAACAACTTTATTTATACCTTCTGGGAACTTGTGAGCAGTCAAATAAGAGCCCTCCTTACTTACTTATTCATTACCTCTCAATGTCTACACATGTGTACATATCCCCACGTACATGTTGCCCCATCATAGCAATGGTTGCATTTCATGGTAACTGTTGCTATAGAAACAAGGAGTATTTTTATGAGTGTTTGTATTCTAAAGGAATCCTGATGTGGTGCTGTTGGATAAGCACTGGACTTTGAACCCCAGGTCAGCCAGTTCAAACCCACCAGCTACTCCTTGGAAACCCTATACGGGATCACTATGAGTTGGAACCAAATCAACAACATAGAGACATCTGGAGAGAGAAAAAGACTTTTCTGAATTAACTCATGTGATTATGGGACCGGCAAGTCCAAAATCCATAAGCCACGCAGCAAGCTATGTTATGTGTCCTGCAGAAGACCTGTGCCACAGTCTTAAGGAACCCTGGTTTTGCTCTGAAGACCTTCAGCTGATTGGATGAGGCCCACCCAGATTATCTGGAGTAATCTCCTGATAGTAGACATTAACCGTATCTACCACATCTGTGGAACAGACCATCAATTACTCATATGCAAATTCAAACTGAAACTGAAGAAAATGAAAACAAGTCCATGAGAGCCAAAATATGACCTTGAATTTATCCCCCATGAATTTAGAGATCGTCTGAAGAACAGATTTGATACATTAAGCACTAAAGACCGAAGACCAGAAGAGTTGTGGATGACATCAAGAACATCATACATGAAGAGAGCAAAAAGTCATTAAGAAGACAGGAAAGAAGCAGAAGGTCAAGATGGATGTCAGCAGACCAACGAGGATGACTAGACAGCAAAAAAGGAAAAGTTAAATTTAAAAAGGCCACTGTGACCTAGTCACCATCCACTTCCGGTCTCAGAATCTAAACGTGGTCACTTTTGAGTAGAGAGTCCCACCTGCCCACTTTGGGCAGTGCCACCCGCAGATAACAATTGCTCACCGCCACCCAACCAAAACTACAACATGAATTTGCAACAGGGGAGAAAAAAGAACCAAAACTTCCAAGTCCCTGCTTTTTTTCTTAAAAGTACTTTAAGAAGGAAAATGTGTTTGTATTTTTTATTTACATTTTTTATTTTTGTACATATTGTACATACATTTGTACAAATGGTTCAGCCATTTTTAATGATCTCGTATGACCAAACCAGCCTTTGGAACATTGTCTGTCCTAATTCGGACTTTACTTGTGGTGTGACCATGTTCATTATCATCTCAAAGTATAAAAAAAAATCCTTGTAAAATAAGCAAAAACAACAACAAAAAAATTACAATCTTATTCCCAGCATTCCAGTAACTTATTTTGTGTATGTATTTAGCTGTACTATAAGTAGTACATTTGTATAAAATGGTTAAAAAAGGCCAAAGATAAAGTTTCTTTTCCTTTTTTTTGTCTATGAAATTGCTGTTTATTTTTTGGGGCCTGTTTGATGTATGGGTGAAACAATTTTGTCCAACAATAAACTGGAGTTTTATTTTGCTGAATTGTTCTAACAACAACAAAAAAAGATCAAAGAGCACAGCCTTTGGTATGGATTACATCTCAATATCGAGAAAACAAAAGTCCTCACCACTGGACCAATAAACATTATTCTTATTAATGGAGAAAAGATTGAAGTTGTCAAGGACATCATTCTTCTTGGATCAACTATCAACACTCATGGAAGCAGCAGTCAAGAAATCAAACGATTAATTGCATTAGGCAAATCTGCTGCACAAGACCTTTTTAAAGTGTTGAAGAGCAGATATGTCAGCTTGAAGACTAAGGTGCACCTAAGCCAAGCTATGGTATTTTCAATAATCTCATATGCATGCAAAAGCTGGACAGTGAATAAGGAAGACCATAGAAGAATTGGTGCTTTTGAGTTGTTGTGCTGGAGGAGAATAGTGAAAGTGTCATGGATTGCCAAAAGAACCAACAGATCTGTGTTGGAAGAAGTGCAGCCAGAGTGCTCCTTGGAGGCCAGGATGGCCAAACTTCGTCTCTCATACTTCGGAC